TCTCTCTGGAAGTGACCCCCCATCCACTGAGACAGTAAACCCAAACCCATGTCAAATCCTGGTAGGAAAGGCAGAGATGAGAACCACCCTTAACTTAAAGGATGTGGGAGGGGTGTTGTCCCCATTGTCCACATCTAATTCACCAGTCTGGCCCCTGGTAAACTGGATGGGTTCTGGAGGATGACAGGGGACTTCCACACACAGCCAAGTAGAAATTGAAACTGCAGCCCCCTTTAGATGTGGCCGCTTGGACAGAGCAGAATAACATGTCCCCCAGTACCTGACATTCAGCCATTGATCTGGTGAGTATGTTCTTTTCCATCCCCACTAGAACAGTTTACATCCACGTGGGAGGAACCACAGTGTTCACTTACGGTCTTGTGCTGGGGCCATATTATCTCTCATGTCTCCCCCGTCAATGTAGCTGAAGGGACTGGACCATCTGGACATACTTCTTACTATCACAGAAGTCCACTGTCTCAGTGACATCATGTTAATGTGACTTGAAGGAACAAGAAGTGGCAAGTATACTGGAGGCCTTGTTGGGATACATGTGCTCTACAGGACACAGGAGCCCATCACATCAGTGTCTTTTCAGGGGCCCAGTGGTCTACAGCACGCTGGGACATCCTCCACGCTGTAAAGAACAAATTACTGCACCCTGCACCTGCCACACTCAGAAGGAAGAGGTTCAGCACCTGGAGGGCTCCTTGGGTTCTGTAGCTCATATGTTCCACGTCGGGGGTCCTACTCTCTCATTTACTGGTGACGTGGAAGGCTGCCAGCTTGGATTAGGTCCCAGAGCAGGAAAAGACCCTGCAGAAATCCTAAGCTGTGGTACAGGCAGCCCTTGTGGTTGGGCCATACAAATGGGAAGATCTTATGTCAATGGTATTAGAGGTATGTATGGTGGAAAAAGATGCTATGTGGAGTTTATGATAAGCCCCAATGGGATCATCACAATGTGGACCCTAAGGTTCTGGAGCAAGGCCCTGCCATCTACAGAGGAGAACTGAATACCATTCATGCAACAGCTCCTGGCTTGCTACTGGGCCCTGGCAGAGAGAGAGGGCCTAACACCGGACATCAGCTGACCACACAGCCAGAATTGACCCATAAGAACTGGATTCTATCTGACCCGCTAGGCCACAAGGTCACGCCCACCCAGCGGCAATCAGCCAGAACATGAAAATGGTGTCTCTAGATCAGGAGCAGTCACTGTAAAAGGTCACAGGTGAGCTGCATGCGCAGGATTCTGTTGGTTTCTACCAGGGAAAACTCACAAGAGGAAGGTTTGTGAGACAGACGGAGCCCCACCTCTGATCCTGGCCCCAAAGGCAGAGGTGAGAGGAGATCTTGCCAACAAGTAGAGCTTCAGAGAAACTGTTCCCAGAGAGGGTGGACTTCCTCTGTGCAGCATGTGGAGCTGGGCTGCCCAAGCCGGGGACTCTAATGTGCTACTCACACCCCTGCAGGACAGACGTACATGCTCCTCCAGCTGCCAGAAGTGTTGGCTGCTAACAGATAACAACCAGGACTCTCTAGAAATTGCTGTCTGCCCAAGGAAGCTGCCCACCCAAGATAATCCATCCTTCCCAGGGCCAATCCCTTGACCGGAAAATGTGAGGGTATAAAGACATGGCCCCCTTGCCTCAGCTCGGGACATCTCCAGGGGACCATCCTACTCTCAGAGTTTCCCAGGGGATTGGCTGAGGCCTCTGTTACGTTGCATCGCTATCCAGTGTCCCCCTCTGTCCAGTCCTACTGCCTCACTTTGTCATGTGTGTGGCTGCATGTAAATTTCAGAGTCTCAGAGTCTGTTTCCCAGGGAACCTGACTTAAGATACTAGTATAGAGAAAGGCTATGGAGTTTTGTATGTTTGTCTTATATCCAGTCATCTTACAAAATTGTCTTGCAAATTCTAATATTTTTATAGAATATCTTGAGTATTCTAGGTTTATAATAATTTTATCCTCCAATAAACATAATTTTGTCTCTTTGTTTTGATAGATATATTGTCTGTTTTCTTGACTTATTTCATTAGGTAGAATCGCCAAACAAATGGTCAATAATAGATGTGATAATGAGAATTCCTATCTCGATTTGAACAGGTGCAGATTTTTGATGTTGTTTTAAGGTAATCTTTATCATATTTAGGTAGTTTTCTTCTTATTTTACATAGATTTAAAAAAAAAAAGGAATGGATATTCAATTGTATGAAATACCTTTTAGGTATCCCTTGACAAAAATTTTGGGTTTTTCTCCTTTATTTGTTGATGTCATAAATTGCTGACAGATTTCCTAAAGCAGAGATGTTCTCGCATTTGTAATAAATTCTATTTCTTCATATTTTCTTAATACATTGGGTTGTAGTCAATATGCCAATATCTTCCTTGAAACTTTTTACATCAATATTTGTAAATGAAATTTCTTGTTACTTTCTTTCCCTCACTATTCTAAATAAGGTTTTAGCATTAATTTAATGCTGACTTTAAAAAAATGAATTTTGGAATTTTCCATATTTTCTATAGATTGGAATTATCTCAATAGCAAGGGAATTCCCTGACTTTTGAAGGTTAAATAGAGCTCATCTCTAAAAATGCTGGAGTCTTGTGCCTTTTAAAATGGTAGATATTTGGGCTTGCCCCGTGGCTTAGCGGTTAAGTGCGTGCGCTCCGCTACTGGCAGCCCAGGTTTGGATCCCGGGCGCGCACCAACACACTGCTTCTCCGGCCACGCTGAGGCTGCGTCCCACATACAACACCTAGAAGGATGTGCAACTATGACATACAACTATCTACTGGGGCTTTGGGGGAAAAAAAAGGAGGAGGATTGGCAATAGATGTTAGCTCAGAGCTGGTCTTCCTCAGCAAAAAGAGTAGGATTAGCATGGATGTTAGCTCAGGGCTCATCTTCCTCACACACACACAAAAAGGTAGATATTTAATAATCTTTCCAATTTATTAGTTTTCCCATTGGGTCACTTGCCTCTCAATTGTCATGGTCTCTTTCGTTTTGGCCAAGCCCTCAAAGTGTAACACCCCCAGATGTGTTCAAATTAGTCAACGCACCTGATAGTGGATGGATGGGATTTCCACTCTTGTCCAAGTGGGGTGGGGGCTAAATTTCCTGAGTGGGTTCCCTTTGGTTGAGTTGGGGTACCCAACAGTAGCAGAAACCCTGAGCAGATTCTCCAAGGGAAGGGTTGCTGTCACAGACCCCTGCTGGTCCTCCACATACACTTTAAAGCAACTGCAGATGGGGTGTGCGATTCATGAAGACGAATTACAAATGGTAACAAGCAGAGGAAGAGATGGTTAACCTCCTGATGACGAGGGGAACCCAAGTTTACACATAAATGGAGTATTTTTTCCATGTAAGACTGACAGAATTTTAAAACAACTGATATTCTCAGTTTTGGAGAGGGTGTCTGTGACATAGAGAGGAGGGTAAATTTGTACAACATTTTTGAGATCAGTATGGCAATTTCTGTCAACAGTTAAGATGTGCATACTCCATGATCCAGCAATTTCTCTTCTAAGAATTTCTCTTATAAGAAATACCTGCACAAGCATATATATACAAGGATGTCCACTCAACAGTATTTGAAATAGCAAAAACTGAAGACATTAACTATCCACCCAAAGAGTAATAGTTGTGCAAACTGTGGAATCATCATTATTATGGAGTGTTATGCAGTTATTAAGAAGAATAAAATAGATCTGTATGTGCAGGAAGGGAATAATGCTCATGACATATTGTTGAATAAAAGAATCAACCTGCAGAACAGTGTGTACAGTATGAAGATTTGTGTAAATTGTGTTTATGGTCTTAGCAAAATGTCTAGTCCAGGAAAGTAGATGCCAGACTGTTAAAAGTGGTCACCCTGGTAATGTAGCAGGGTGGGGGTGGGGGAATGAGAAGGAGACTGTATCTTTTTATTTTATACATTTCTATAATGCTTGACTTTAAAAATGAGCATATATTACTTTGGCAATAAAACAGAAAAATTTTTTAGTGCCTGAAACAAAAACGCTGACGTAATTTAAACCATTCAGCTGTTTCTTTTAGAAGGAGCAATACTAGGGCTTCCTCACTCTGGGAATTGGACTAAACGTGACTTAGTCTTAAAGGGAACTAGAAAAGGCATTAATTCTATTAATTAATGTGTCAGCAGATTCCATCTTAGCAAAGGATGTCTTAATGAGGTGCTTGGGGCATCCATTATTTATCTTACAAATATCACCTCGGGGCCCTACTTGTGTCAGGCAACATAACAGATGTGCCCGCTGAGGGTGCGGGGCTGGAGAAGCACAAATAGCTCACAGACCCACTCTCCCCTCCCCATCTCTCGTGGACGGCCTCTGCATAGTTCCACTGACCACAACTTCTCCACTCTCTGTCCCCTTCCCCCATATAACCCCCCAAATGAATAATTCCAGCCTGGACTGCAAATCTCACTCCTTCCCTCACTCTGGGCATCTTGGACACGTCCCTCCAGAACCTCATTCTCCTAGCCTTCTTTCCTTAACGCTAATGGGGAACTGGGGACATAACCAGCCTGTGTGAGGCCCACACAGGTAGCTCCTGGTACCTTAATGGCACAGAGTTAATGGTCTCGATAAGCCGACCTAGCAACATCCCCGTTCCCTCTCCCGGTTTCCATTCCGCATCTCCATCGGTGTACCCTTCCTCCAGCGTGGCCCGCACCCACCCAGTCTCCCGCTTTGTCCCCCGTGCCCGCCAGGAGCTGTCCTTGGTGCTGACCGGAGGCGCGGCCCGCGCTCGGCCCATGCGCACGCGTCCCGGGCGGGGCGCGCAGGACCCGCTGGCGCCGCCACTGCGCAGCC